CCACATTCACTTGGTGGGCAGGGTCTATCTGTACCCCCCATTTCCAGAGGAGAAAACCGAGGCTCAGAGAGAGCCCAAACTTAATGAGAGGGCTTGCTCTCACCCTGTTGGCACTTAGCCTAGTGATGGCACACACGAGACACTTTGCAGACATTCCTGGAAACACAGGCAGGGAGGTGAGAGGAGGAAGGGGAGGAGGGGGAGGAGGGGGAGGAGGGGGAGGAGGGGGAGGAAAGGGAGGAGGAGGGGGAGGAGGAGGAGGAGGAGGAAGGCAGGAGTCACTGAAGCAGGGAGGAAGCTGGGACCAGAAGTCAAGCCCATGGCTCTGAGCTTTGCCCCCTCCTTTACTGATACCGTGACCCCATCCCTACGGTCCGGTCCCATCTTTGTAGGGCAGGAGCTGGGGTTGCTCAGCAAGGGGGGGGCTCAGGGTTAAGATCTCGCCTGGCCCTGTTCTGCTGCTTGCCCGCTGTGCTTCGTGTACACAGAGGGCACTTGTGTGGGTCACTCCTGTAACCCTGGGTGGGGGTCTACAGGCAGGGAGAGTCCCTTGTCACCTGTGCCTGAAGCCCAGTTTCTGTGTCCACAGCCCAGCTCCTCCCCTGGCCTCGTTTTGATCGCCTGGGGTTTGCTCAGTAGTGAAGAAATCGAGAGATATCCTACTTGCTATCATCATGGGAAAAGCAGAAGGAGGGAGGGAGGGAATATATTGAGGGTGGGAGTCGGGGGTGTGCAGGAAAGGCCCAGGCTGGGCACGTGGCAGGTGCACCCCCGTGCTGGCTTGGGGAGGGGGGCAGCCTGAAGTCAGTGGGTCTCCATCCTAACCCTGGGTTCAGGGAACCTGGAGGAAGCGTTCCCACCCATCTTGGGTCTTCCTGGCTCAGCTGGTCCCTCTGGCTGGGCTGGAGTCAAGGCCGAGCCCAGAGCCCTCCTGGACTTACAGTGGCACCCGGGCCTGTGGCTCACTTCACCCTGAAGCTCATCAACAGGGCAAGGTCAAAGTAAGACGAGTCATGCCAGGGTCAGCCCCACAGGAAGGACGGGAGCCAGCATCGCAGCTGAGGCCCTGACCTAGACACCAGCTCATAGAAGGCAGGACATGCAGCCCCTGATGCTCCTGGGAGTGAACAGGGACCAAGCTCATGCTCTTTTAGCACCTCAGAGCCTTCTTGGGAAAATCAATGACATCTTCAGCCTAAAGACAAGGATGGGAAACTGAAGTATGGACTCCAGTCCCAGGCCTGCCACTTGCGGTGGCTCAGGCAAGCTGTGACCTTCAGCTTCCTCGCCCGCTCTTCCAGTCCACAGCTCACCTGACACCAGCCCGCCAGACCCAGATCCAGATGCCCCCAGGCTCGGGCCCACCCCGGAGGGAGCAGAGCAAACCTCCTTGCCGAGTCCCTTTGGGTCCACTCAGCCTTTCACCCACTTCACTCACCGCTCCCCTGAGGCCACCCTGGTCCCGGCTCCTGTCTCCTCTGCCTGGACTTTGCCGTAGCTCCTCACTGGGTGTTGCTCACCCAGCCAGCGGCTCCATTAGAACCTGGGTCTAATCCCACCCCTCCCTGGTCTCACACAGAGTAAGGGCTGAAGTCCCTTCAATGCCCCTACCTGGCCGCACCTCCTTCCACTTCCCATCCCTCTACTCTGCGCTCAGGCTACACCAGCCACCTCAGCCCCGCCGCAGCTCCTGCCTCAAAGCACCTGCTCCCACTGTTCTCCCGCCGAACACGCCAGGCCTGGTGTGCACCTGCCTCGCTTCATTCTAGGCGCTTCTTCGTTCCCAGGCTGAGTTTCCCCCAACACTTATCCCATCTGAGTTAAATGACCTATTCACTGGGTGGTTCATCGTCTGTCGCGCCTCAGCAGGAATATCAATTTAATAAAAACAGATTTTCTTTTCTTTCTTTTTCTTTCTTTTTCCTTAATTCAAAACCACAATCAGAAGAAACTTACTTTTTTTTCTTAGATGCAGTCTCACTTTGTCCCCCAGGGGCTGGAGTGCAGGGGTGCAATCTCAGCTCACTGCAACTTCTGCCTCCTGGGTTCAAGCAATTCTCCTGCCCCAGCCTCCCGAGTAGCTGGGAGGACAGGTGCACATCACCATGCCCAGCTAACTTTTGTATTTTTAGTAGAGACGGGGTTTTGCTATGTTGGTCAGGCTAGTCTTGAACTCCTGGCCTCAAGCGATCTGCCCACCTCAACCTCCCAAAGTACTGGGATTACAGGCGTGAGCCATCGAACCCAGCCTCTTTCTATTTTTTTGAGATGGAGTCTTGCTCTATCGCCCAGGCTGGAGTGCAGTAGCGTGATTCTGGCTCACTGCAACCTCCGCTTCCCGGGTTCAAATGATTCTCCCACCTCAGCCTCCTGAGTAGCTAGGACTACAGGCACCTGCTGAAGTGCTCAGCTAATTTTTGTATTTTTAGTAGAGATGGGGTTTTACTATGTTGGTCAGGCTGGCCTCGAACTCTTGACCTCAAGTGATCCGCCCACCTCAGCCTCCCAAAGTGCTGGGATTACAAGCTTGAGCCACCGTGCCCGGCCTCAGAAACAGAGATTTCAGGATTCCAGTTTGGTCATTGCTACGTCCCCAGTGCCTAGAACAGGGCCTGGAATTTTGGAGGTGTTGAGTGTTTGCTGAATGAATGAGCACATGAATTCCCATGGAAGAGAGCTCTTCTCTGGGTGTAGGTAGGCTCTCGGCCTTTGGATGCAGGGGCTGAGCCTTCTTTGACCCAGGGAGACCCCGGTGATGGTGCCACTGCCCTCCCCTCACACCCAGGGCTGTCACTGACTCAGCTGCCCTCAGGCTTGGCCCCGAAGGTCCCAGGAGGGCGGAGCAGTAGCCTGAGCTGGTAACAGCAGCTTCTGAGGAGCCCTGACCTGTCATCTTTGCACCCCTGAGCCTGGGAAAACCCAGCGGGTACTGCATCCTTTCCCTCAGCACGCTGCCTGAGCACCCTCATGTGCTGGGCACAGAGCCCCCAGACAAGACTGCCCCGGCCTCTGGCCTCCTGACACTTGCTGCCAGGTAGGAAGGGCAGGCCTGCGTTGAACGGGAATCCACAGGGCTGGGTGGCAATGAGCATGGGGGGCCAGCAGAGAGGCTCCCTCTCCAGGCAGGAGCCACCTGCAGTGTGAGCAGGAGCTGTCCAGGTGAGAGCCGGACCCAGCTACCCCACCCTGCACTCCAGCCCTGACTCTGCCGCACACTTACTATTGACCCTGGGCAAATCACAACATCTGAGCTTCACCCTTCAGAGCTGTGAAATGGGAAGAAACCTCCCTGTGGAGCTATGGCGGAGGGTGTGTGGAAAGGTGTGTGGGAGGGCACCTGTGCCAGTGGCTGGTAGCCCCTTCTTCCCTTCCAGCCTCCTGGGATCAAAAAACCCGGGCAGGGATTCCCTAATCTGCAGAGCTGGAATGGTAGGCAGGAGGGCCTGCAGGCCCTCTCAGGTTCTCAGTGGGACCCATGACCCGGAAAAGCCTGCAGAGTCCTGGTTTCCTGCAACAAGATCAAACGGGGCCCCACGGCAGCGCAGGGAATGGCACAGGAGAGGTGCCCTCAGTCCCAGTACAAGGGGCGACCAGGGCCACCTGTTACAGGTGTGGATGTGCCCTCACCAGGCAAGGACACAGCAGCTTCTCTGCTCCCCGGAGGCGCCCCCAGCCCGTGGTGTGTGGGGTGGAGGGGCTGTGTGGCTGTGAGTGTTCATGCCATACCTTCTTCCAGAGCAGCAGGGCTGTGCCCACAACACCCAGGACACTCAGGAGGCCGGTGAAGCCAAAGAGCAGGAGCTTCTGGGGGCTCTGCGGGGGCTCTCGGTACCCTGTGTCTAGGAGGAAGGGCAGGGGAGCAGAGGGGTCAGTGACCCAGGAGAAGGCGGGGCACACCCACCTGATGTTCTCCCTCACCCAGGACCCTGTTTTCAATGCCCCCCCTGCTGACGCCCTCCACACCCCACTAGGGGCTCCGGGAACCGGGCCTTGGCCTTCATTGTCCCCCTTGGTCCTTTTCCTTTCTTTTCTTTTCCTTTTCCTCTTTTTTCTCTCTCCCTCCCTCCCTCCTTCTCTCTCTCTCTCTCTCTCTCTGTCTCTCTGTTTTTTTTTTGTTGGTTTTATTCCCGGCTATTCACTCAGGCTGGAAGCAGGATCTCAGCTCACTGCAACCTCTGCCTCCCAGGTTCAAGTGATTCTCCTGCCTCAGCCTTCCTGAGTAGCTGGGATTACGGGCATGTGCCACCATGCTGGGCTAATTTTTGTATTTTTAGTAGAGATGGGGTTTCTCCATCTTGGTCAGGCTGGTCTCGAACTCCCAACCTCAGATGATCCAACCGCGTCGGCCTCCCAAAGTGCTGGGATTACAGGTGTGAGTCATTGCGCACGGCCTCCCCTTGGTCCTTTTCATGTTCACTGCCTTAATTCTCTGTAAGGACAGGGACCACCTTGTTTGCTCTCCCGGTGCCCCAGTGACCTGGCTCCCCTGAGGGCTGCCCGTAGGGCTCTGAGCCAGTTGTCTCCTCTCTCGGGGTCTCTTCTTTTCCCGGTGTGAGGTGGTGATAATAGGGGTGGATGTGGCTAGGGCTGAAGGAGGTGGGTTTATATTGGGACTGACGGGCTGGGGCGCTGCACAGGGGCTAGGTGAGGCCCAGCCCTCCTTCTGTGCCATCCTCCTGTCCCTCCTGCTGTCATCCATTCCTCCTTCCCCTTTACCCTATCCATCCATCCATCTGGCTGGCAAAAACACACAGAGTGCCAACCATGTGCCAGGCACATGGTGATTTCCCCAGCACCACCTGTAGTCAGCCACCAGCCCGTATGGGCACCATCTCCCTCATCCTCATCCAAGTCCTTGGAAGGCAGAGGATTGCCATGAAGACCAGGCCCAAGCTCACATCAGGCAAGCAGCAGGACAGGTGTGCAAACCCAGGCCTATGAGATTTGGGAGCCCTCGGCTCCTTCCAGGGGACCGCAGAGGTAGGTCAGAGAATCAGGGCTTCAGTGAAGGGCTCCCTCATAACTTTTGAGGTCATCACTCCTTTGAGAATGTGATGAAAACTAGCTGGTCATAGTGACTCATACCTGTAATCCCAGCACTTTGGGAGGCCGAGGCAGGCAGATCACTTGAGGTCAGGAGTTCGAGACCAGCCTGGCCAACATGGTGAAACCCCATCTTTACTAGAAATACAAAAATTAGTTAGGCATGATGGTGTGTGCCTGTAATTCAGGTACTTGGGAGGCTGAGGCAGGAGAAATGCTTGAACCCGGGAGGTGGAGGTTGCAGTGAGCTGAGATCGCAACACTGCACTCCAGCCTCGGTGACACGGTGAGACTCCGTCTCAGGAAAAAAAAAAAAAAAAAGGACAGAGGCGGCGGGCGCGGCTCGCGCCTGTAATCCCAGCACTTTGGGAGGCCGAGGCGGGTGGATCACGAGGTCAAGAGATCGAGACCATCCTGGTCAACATGGTGAAACCCCGTCTCTACTAAAAATACAAAAAATTAGCTGGGCATGGTGGCACGTGCCTGTAATCCCAGCTACTCAGGAGGCTGAGGCAGGAGAATTGCCTGAACCCAGGAGGCGGAGGTTGCGATAAGCCGAGATTGTGCCATTGCACTCCAGCCTGGGTAACAAGAGCGAAACTCCGTCTCAAAATAGAAAAAATAAAAAAAAAGGGCTGGGAGTGGTGGCTCGCGCCTGTAATCCCAGCACTTTGGGAGGCAGAGGCGGGTGGATCACAAGGTCAAGATATCGAGACCAGCCTGGCCAACATGGTGAAACCCTGTCTCTACTAAAAATACAAAAAATTAGCTGGGCGTGGTTGTGCGTGCCTGTTGTCCCAGCTACTTCGGGGGCTGAGGCAGGAGAGTTGCTTGAAACTGGAAAACGGAGGTTGCAGTGAGCCGGGATCACACCACTGCACTCCAGCCCAGTGATAGAGTGAGACTCTGTCTCAAAAAAATAAATAAATAAAAATACCTTGGATTCAGAAAAAAATAAATACATAAATAAAAATGAAAAAGAGAATGTGATGAAAACTTAAAACCTGTACCTCTAAAGGTATATTATACATGAGCCAAGTGCTCACATACACGAGGCCCCCACAAGTACATACATGCACCTCGCTAGTTCTACAGAAGTCCACCAAACCATGATGCCGATGCACACTGAGACAAAGGGCCCGAGTGAGCTCTCTCAGGTCACTTTCCAGAGGCATCTAGGGGCCGATCTGCAAGCCAGGCCTTCCCTTTCCATACGCAGGTGGAGCCGTGGCACAGCTGCAGGCCGGGGCTCCCTGAAAAGGCTTGGTCCCGCTTTGCCAACACTGGCAGAGAAGGTAAACCATTCTCTATTTCCGTTTTTTTGTTTTTTGTTTTTTTTAAAGATGGGGTTTCACCATGATGGCCAGGCTGGTCTTAAACTCCTGACCTCAGCTGATCCACCCACCTCGGCCTCCCAAAGTGCTAGGATTACAGGCTTGAGCCACTGCCTTTTTTTTTTTTTTTTCTTTTTTGAGATGGAGTTTCGCTTTTGTTGCCCAGGCCGGAGTGCAATGGCTCGATCTTGGCTCATGGCAACCTCTGCCTCCCGGTTCAAGCAATTCTCCCGCCTCAGCCTTCTGGGTAGTTGGGATTACAGGCACGCGCCACCACGCTGGCTAATTTTTTTTGTATTTTTAGCAGAGACGAGGTTTCTCCATGTTGGTCAGGCTGGTCTCGAACTCCCAACCTCAGGTGATCCTCCCTCCTTGGCCTCCCAAAGTGCTGGGACTACAGATGTGAGCCACCATGTCCGGCTTTCCTTTCCTTTTTTTTTTTTTCTTTTTTTTTGAGACAGAGTTTTGCTCTTGTTGCCCAGGCTGGAGTGCAATGGCACGAAACGATCTAGGCTCACTGCAACTTCTAAATCCCGGGTTCAATCAATTCTCGTGGCTTAGCCTTCCAAGTAGCTGGGACTATAGGCTCCCACCACCACACCCAGCTAATTTTTGTGTTTTTAGTAGAGACAGGGTTTCACCATACTGGCCAGACTGGTCTCAAACTCCTGACCTCAGGTGATCCACCCACCTTGGCCTCCCAAAGTGCTGGGATTACAGGCATGAGCCACCGCACTTGGCCCCATTCTCTATTTCTGATTTGGAGTCCCAAACTGCTGGCTGAAATCTCTGGGTCCTTCGCCCCCGGAAAAGCCACAGAGGAAGCCTCACCTCTGACCAGGATGAAGGTGCCGCTGCCTCTTGCCACGGTGTGTGGCCAGTGGACAGAGCAGTAGTAGGTGCCAGTGGCTAATGCACCCGGCGGCACAAGGGTGACCAGGCAGTTCAGGGTGTAGGTCTGGTTCTCTGTGCCCAGTCCAGGGTGGCAGTTGGTTGGCTTCTCAGGGCTCCTCTGCCCATGGAGATCTTCATGAAAGTAGCTGACTGTGAAAGACTTGAATTGGGGGGTATACGGGTAGGTGACCCTGCAGCTGAAGGAGACAGGTGAGTTGGCCAGTGAGGCCACGATGGGCAGGCTGCTGTGGGTCACCGACTGTCCTCCTGGAGGGGAAGCAAAGAGAGAGAGTGACAGGTCACTTGAGGCTGCCTCAGTCCCACCCACTTGCAGGTTAAAACAAGGCTCGTGGCCAGGCACAGTGGCTCACGCCTGTAATCCCAGCACTTTGGGAGGCCGAGACAGGGGAATCACCCAAGGTCAGGAGTTTGAGACCAGCCTGGCCAACATGGTGAAACCCTCATCTCTACTAATACAAAAATTAGCCAGGCATGGTGGTGGGTGCCTGTAGTCCCAGATACTCGGGAGGCTGAGGCAGGAGAATCGCTGGAACCTGGGAGGTGGAGGTTGCAGTGAGCTGAGATCATGCCACTCCACTCCAGCCTGGGTGACAAGATAGAGCTCCATCTCAAAAACAAAAACAAAAACAGACAATTCTCGTGCCTCCCGTGCCCCTACCTCTGCAGCTGCAGCCCCTGCCTCTCCTGCGCTTGCTGTGTATCGGACTTGTGCCGGGCACATTACACACACCGCTCTGCCTCTCTTAATATACCCCTAGGCAAAACGAGAGCCCCTGTTTCACGAAGGGGAAGAGTCTGAGGGGCAGGGAACTGAAGCACCTAGCTCCTGATCCCTCAGCAGGTAGAGAGTGGAGCTACAACCCCATTCAGGGCTGGGAGACACAGAGCCTGCTCTCCTAACTCCCCTGCTTCCTGAAGTCCAAGAGGCCACGTGGAAAAAACGCCCAGGCCTGAGAAGAGTGAAAGCTGGTGATGGATGAGAAATAAAGAAGGAGGCAAGAAAGCAAAAGAAAGAAGCCCAAGCGTTTCCTGGTGGTAGACAGAGAGGGAGGCAGGTCTAGCCACTGTTCTCCCGTGCCAGGGGAAGAGGGCACACAGGTGGCAGGAGACACAAACCTCTCCTGGACTGGGAAAGGATTTGTCAAGTTTTTGT